AGAAAAGTAAGAAAGTCTTTATCATCATTATAAACATATTACATAAATGTATCGTGACTCAGGTTATTTAAAAAGTTGTTTTTTTCTCTTCTTCTTATCTTAATATTAGAAAAACATTTGTTATATTCTATGTTAGTCTGTCCTCATAATTGATCAAAACTTTTTTTGTATAGTTATCATCAATTATTTTTTATTAAATAAATACAATTTTTAATATGAAATAAACTTGAATGTTTTGTAATAAGATAATATAATAGTGGAAAATAATATTCTTTTAATCTGTTGATTTTCATATTTTGTTGAGTAAAAAACGACAATATTTTTATCAGATTTTTAATAGATAAGACTGTCAATGTACTTCAAATAAAGTATCTTAAGAGATATCTTATACAAAAACACCCTTACATATAAGTTTAGAATCTAGATGAGATTGAGATTGTATTTTGAAACTTTGAAATACAAGGAGTGTATCAATAATATATTTGTTAAGTAAATGATCTGTAGAAATATCATTAACATATATATATATATATTAGAAAACTTGTTTATTGATAGTTTGACTAAGGTCTTTTTTTAGGACAATTCTCATGAGAATATACAAAGATAGTTACACTAGTTATATTTAATAAACTAATTACTACATTTTTTTTTCTTTTGAATTCAATATATAGCTCGACGATTTATTTTATAATGGAAAAATTGAACGATTACTCCAATTGTAATAATTAGTAACCAGTTTGCTTTTTATTCAATTGATATGAGTAGAGATTCAGAAAAAAAATATTTATTTGAGCTTTTATTAATCAGTACTGCAATAATAGTAATAATTATTTGTTATTTACATCGAAAAACACAATAAACATGAAATATTATGTCATATTGTAGATTTTTTACATCAAATTTATCAATATAAAATTGCATTTTAACCTTTCATACGTCTGTCTCGTTCGAAAAATTTAATGCGGAAAAGAAATAAACGTCTATAATTAGAAAATTTGTCATAGTTTGTGATTATTTCTTATTTGTTTCATAATAAGGAACACAGATAAATAAGATTCAAGTCAATAAACAAATGACATAGAAATCCAATTATCTTATGCTCATAAATTCTGAAACTTGAATACAACAACAAACATTAATCAGTTTATGATTCATACAATCAATAATAATAGACCAGTCAACAAACTTGAAATGTACACAATGAGAATCTCTTACTTTACTTTATTAGTAAATATAAAAGAGAAAAATATAGAATACTGATTACATTTTTTGTGTAAATTCTAGTACAAATGAACTATATTATATTGTTATTTAGAAACTTTTATTTTTATATATTGCTTGAAGAAACGTATTTCAAATTCAACTGAATTCACATGTCAATTGTTACATTTACACATAAATGATAGTAACAAGAAAAACATTTATTCGAAAAGTTCTTCGACAAACTAAACGATTGTTTTCGCTTTTGTCTCACAATTCGCATAGAATCAATAGATTCATTCATATATTGCTTTGAAATTAGATGTTTATGTAATACTTTATATAGTTCATTGAAAATTACAAATATATTTGACTTTTAATTTATTCAATAATATAGAACTATATTATCTTTATCCTTTCGAATGTAATCTTCTCCTGTTCTTTCACTTCATTAAAATTTTATTAAGTCAAATATCCTATTTCAAATAAATAAATACATTCATATATTCTTCATTTCTAACTCTTGACATTTATTTTTTTTTTATTTAAACATACAATATCATAGAAAGAAAAAAAATCTTTTTTTTAATAAATATCCACAAGAAAAACAACAAATCATACAATAAAATACATGCTATTTTATACAAAAAAAAAAAATCTGCAAGTATAATTATATAGTTGAATAGAAGATGACTAAAATGTTGCAATCAACAGTTAAAACAACTGCTCGATTAAAAAGAATAAGACTAAAGATAATTCCTGATGAGAAAAATGTCTCATCTAGAAAAGGAACTATTTTCTATGAAGAATAGTTTAAAAAGTATGTGTATTAGCTTATCGCTAAATAATAAATGCATATATTATAATAGTCGTTGATTTCTATTCATAAAAAATAAGACTAAGAAGAAAAGAAAATCAATTTAGAATCATTGTTGAAAAGATGAATATGAACGTATTATTGATTCATCAGAAATTGATATTGAATTAGCTCCAGAAAAATTCGCATAACCAAAATTCTATTAAAGAATATATTTAATTTTTGTATATTGAATAAGAAATAAAATGACTTACAGAAATATTCCATGTTGGTGCAAAAAGTTGTGGACCAGTAGTTGTAAGAATTTGAGAAAGAAGTTCGAGACTAAGACCATTTGTTATAGGTAATTGTTCATTATTATGCATTATATATGGATGAATTGATTCATAGGAAAATGATGAAGAAGGAGTTGAATTATTTGAAATAAATTCCATATTTGAAGGAATGATTTTATTTAATTTACTTTGTTTTTCAATTATAGGTGATTTACTTTTTTTATATATTTGTTGATTATTTATTGGAAGAGATGATGATTCATGAAATGTATTATTAATTGTTACAGTTTCTGAAAGTTTTTGACGTAAATTAGCATTTGTAACACGAAGTGAATCTCGACGATGTTTAAGTTCATCAAATTTCTTTTTTAAAGAAGCATTTTCAGATTTAAATTGATATAAACATGATAATAATGATGAAATATCATTTGGCATATTTTGTTGAAGAAGAAAATCACTTGTTAATTCCCATTCTTGTTCAAGAAATTCTTCTAAAGTTTGAGGTGGAAATGAATGTTCGGAAGTTTTTAATGTTATTGAAGAATTATTTAATGATTGTTGAGAATCAATATTCATCTTTGCTTGATCATTATTAGTTTGAGATTCTATAGGTTTTAGATTTTGTTCTTTACATGTTGAATGATTACTATGCTTTAATTGAGATAAATGAAGTTTTTTTGATGGAGGACGACCAACTGGTCTTGGACTATCTTCAGTTGAATAATAACGTTTTTTATGTAATTGTACATTTTTATCGATTATTTGAGAATCAATATCATTCATTTCAATTCTAAAAGGAAAATTTTAAGGTTTGTTTTTCTTTTCTTTTTTTTATTCAAATAGAAAAAGTTTTATATTTACTTGATTTTTGGAGTAAAAATTTCTTTCGATGAAAGATTATTATTAATATTAGAAGAAATATTTGTACATATAGATGTTAATGACTGCTGATCATTATTGCCATTGGAAGATTTTAAATTAACAGTTGCTAAGTTTCTGTTGAATTATAAAACAAAAATATTTTCAGAAACAATGATGAATTTGTATTATTTTAATTATATACTATCAATTTTTCTTGTAGTTATATCTCGGAACAAAGAGTTATATTTCATGTTGTACGGAATTGAATACATCTCTGTTTGATTTCTTAATAAGCACAATTCAAGTTTATATCAAAAGAAAAATAACCTTGCAATCGCTTTTGAGTGCCACCTGTTGTTTCTTTAATATAACTTTTAATAACTCAAACACTACATACAAAAATTATATCAATAACTATCTATTCGAAATGACATTGAATAGTTATGAAGAATAATATTTAAGTACAAACCTAGTATCTATTGTTGATTGATTTTGACTTGATAACAAATGACAAGTTCGTTCTTGTTTATTTAATTCAACACTATGTGAATGATTAATTTCTGAAGAAGAAACTTGTGATGAATTTTGACTAGATTCATTATTCATTTTTTCTTGTCTGTCCAATAATAATGAATCACTTGTTTGACTAATAGTAGTATTAACAAAATCAGATAGCTCCGATGGATTTTCTATTTCTCTTGAATTCTATATCATCAAATAAGAAATAAAATAAAATAAAATAAAATACAAAAATATAAAATTTAATTTACATGATTTCGTTCTGATAATTGATATTGAAATGCAGGTACTTGTCTAATAAATTTCTAATTTAAAAAAAAAGTAAATATTTATTTAATAGAATATTCATAATTCTTTTTTTTTTTTTACAGAAAATTTCGGTTGATGATATTCACAATAAATTGGATATTGACAATTATTTTTTCTAACATCTTCAAATAATAATCCAGCTTGTTGTGCACATGTTACATGAAATAATTGTGAACAATTTTTAACTCTACATTCACAACATGCACCTTTAATTGCATAGGATTTTGAACGTCCATTCTTAATACAAATTGAACATGTTTGTCCATAACGTATTGATGGAATTTTTGAAAGTATAATTGGTTCCATTGTTTCATCATTACCAAAGGATACTTCAGGTATATAAAGTGCACATATAACATGTGCCCAATTACCATCGGATGTTTGTTTCATTGCACCTTCGATTAATGGACATAAATGACATGGCTTAAAAGAAAAAAGAGAAGATTTTAAATAAGAATAAAATAAAAATTTCATACTGCATGAATTGCTCCAACTTCACATCGACGACAATACCAATCACCATCAGGAATTGATACAATTCCATAACAAGCTATTTAACAAAATTTTAAATAAATAAATTTCTGAATATTTTGTTTTTCTTGTCCTACCTGTATGACAAGCTACTGTACAACCTTTTCCATCACAATAAACTAGAGCATTATTTGAAAAACCTTGATCATCAGAACAAACACAACATCCACCAACTAATTCTTCATGATTTGTCATCGTTTTATGGTTAGTATTTTCATATTTACAATTAAGATTATTTTTCGAATCATTATTATCGTTGTTAATCGATACTATTGTTTTAAAATATTCAATCAAATACACATAGCAAAAAAAAAAGTATAGAACGGAGACACTCAGCTGCTCTTTTTTTCATGATTCATCATTTTAGAGGACAAATAATATTTTATGAATGGTTGATTCAATACAGATGGTAAAATATGGTCATAAAACTGAATGGATATCTCATCGATCAAATTTTTGTGTTTATTTCTTGTTTTGAGTTTTTCTAAATGGGTATTTATTATAGTTTAACATCAATATTTTCATCAACAACAGATACAAATCATATAAATATACAATCAAATTCTAAATCTAAAAAAAGAAGACGTCGACGTTATAAACAAAATCATTTATTAAATCGATTTTTTTTGGGTTCAAAATATTTTTTTATTAATACACAACCACATACATGTCTTTTTAATGAATATTATTATTTTAATTCAAAAAAAGATGTAATCAATCCTGTACATTTACAGGTTTCATTACCTGAACCAAATCAATCAATGACTACACGACCAGTTCACTGTACTATAGCAATACGAAGAGATTCACTTAAATTAATTCATTGTTACGATGATTATTATTCAATTGATTTTACTTTCGATGCTGATCGTCCTGTGCAAATTCACAGTATGTTTTGTTTTGTTTTGTTTTTTTTTTGTTATTCATTTCTTCTTTGTTTTTCTTTAAGTCTATTTTATGGCACATGAAGTATACACAAATAATAATGGTTCAATATCTTATGTTTCATGTAAAAAATCAAGTCATTTACATACATTTAAACAATATTATGTATTTAATCGACCTGCTGGTCATGGACAAATATTTTCATCAATACCAAATGATATTCATTTACCATTATCAGTATTGAATGAAAATCATCATAATTGTACAATAAAAAATCGTGTTTATCCAATAGTTATTGTTTGCCGAGAAATAAATTCTCTAACTAAGTAAGAAATATTCCTTTGAAATAATTCATTTGATGTTCTTTTTTATGTTTTCTTTTCTTTTCATAGAAGTCCATCAACAATTTGTGGTACAACATTAACTGAACATACAACAGCTGCTTTAGCATCATTTCCAACATTTGATCAATTTCATATTGTATTAGCAACAATAAAACTTCTTCGATTAAATGATACAATATCAACAATAACGCCTGATCGTGTAACAATTGTTTTACTTAATCAAAAACATGTTTATAATGGTATTGTTTTTAAATTATTTGAAATTTATAGTATTGAAAATCATCCATTAAAATTATCAAAAAATAATAATAATAATGATAAACGAAAAATTTCAAAAGGAAATAAATCATTAATGAAAGTTGTTACAACATCAACGATTAATGAAAATAAACCATTTTTAAATCGGTACAAAAAAAAATACTTTTTTAATTTATATTTATTTGATTTATTTTGTTATTTATTTGTTTTAGTACAAATGAAATTGATGTACTTAAAAAATCTTCATCAGATTTTGATTTAGTATTAAATAATACAAATGAAAGTACTTGTGTTATTTGTTTAACTGATAAACGTAATGTTTTATTACTACCATGTCGACATTTATGTTTATGTGGACCATGTGCTGAAAACTTGAAATTTCAATCAGCTAATTGTCCGATATGTCGCATACCATTTCGTGCTTTATTACAAATGAATGCATTACGTTATCGTAAACATTATTTATTTAATCATCAATATAGTGATGATGAAGATGACTTAATACATGAAAATATTTCATTGATTGATGCACTTAATTTAGCAACATCAACAACAAAACAAATTAATAAAACTAACTGTAATATTCAACAGAATATAACAACAAATGATATTAAGTATTTTTGCAGTGAACATACAGTTTAATATCTGTGATATTCCGTATATCATTGTTAGAGGTAGATTTATTTTTTTAGAAATTGCATGTTGAATTGGTTTTCCTTTTTTTTTTTCTTTTCTTTTTGTAAAAATTGAAATTCTATTTATTATTATTAAAATTAAAATCAAGTATATTAATAGAAATAAAATTCTTTTCTTTGTTTTTTTTTTTGTTTTCTAGAAATAAAGTTCCTATAGAGAGATCAACATAAAATCTATTCGTTTGGAAATATAGCCGGAAAATATGGAAGTTTGTTAGAAAATAACATGATCAGTATTTTTTTTTAGATCATATGTAATTAATATTTTTCTAATAGTTTCGTTACATTAAGAATATTGAAGATCATTTATTTTTGTAGTCTTTATACTAATTCATCAGCATTATTTGACACGTGTTTATAAGGTACTGTGTACAAATTTTAGTACTGTCAGTGTTATGACCTGCATAATCATAAGGATTTATTCTTCTTATCTGTAAAATTATTCATATGCACTTTTGTTCTTCTTCTTGTCTCTTGTTGTTGGTCATGCGTCATGGATTTTTCCTTTCTGTCATATATATAGGACTTTGTTCTTTCTTTCATATTGTTCTACGGGTTTCTCACCGATGATTTTTCCCCACGTTATTATCATATATGCATTCATTGGACTGTTACGAAGAGATTGGAGATAAAAATAAATATAGAAATAAAATAAAAATGCGATTAAGATCTTACACAATCAGCGATAGAATAATCCGGGACCAATGACTAATGGCTATTTGTCTTGGATTATTCATCCGATAACATGCTGACAACGTTGTGACATATATACCTGCTCTTGTGGTTGTGTATAGGAAATGCAAGAACTCTGCATCAGGCTGGCTTTCTGCTCAGAGCTACAGGTAGTATTAGTTATGGAAAAAATGTCAGTCTATCGAATCTACTGCTAAGTAGTATCTCATACCACAAGATAGGAGTATTCTTTATTTCCATCTCTATTATGAATTTTTGTTTTTAATAATTAGAATAAATTTTATGCTGTTCTAGATTCTATTATTGAATAATTTATCTTTAACCCGATATAACAGTTTTACTGATACATGATTCCGTTATTAATATATAAATAACTTAAGTATAATAATTCTAGTAAGTACATGTACTGAATATATATAGTTAAATAATGCATGAAAAGAATTTTAAGTGAAGAATAGAAGTTCATCACATCGAATCTGTTAATGTAAAAAATGCTCTCAATTATTCTACGTTTAAGTTTCAAAAAATAAATTTTCGGAAAAATGAAAAAAAAAATATTGAATACTTTGAATTAATTTGAAATGATTAAGCATGCGTCATAACTTCATTTGACGTCATTTTTCTGAGCTTTTATTCTTTTGATATTTTTAGCTCAGAGTAAAATAAAATAGATCCAAAATTCCAAGATCTATGAAATAATAAGAATGATTTTATTCTTTAATACTGTTTCGTTAAAAGAATAGGTCTTATTTATTTATATTATACTAAATTCACCATATGGGCATTCTCAAATGAGTCATCTGTAATGTTAGATAATAATATGAATATTATTTTATTTTTTAATCACATGATTTCCAAATAATTTCTCTCTATTTTTCATAGTTAGAAGTGTTAAACGATTTGTGACTTCATTTATCATTTGTGCATGATCAGATTTCTCATGCAAATAAGCTCACGTATTATTATAAGAATAATCGAGAAATTTCTTTTGAAATTGTTTTGATGAAATCAATACGATAAATAAGTTATAATAAAAATAATATATATTTTTTTCTCTACATCTAATTTTGTCTAATAAGAACGAACACAAAAAAAAATATCATATTTTGTTGATTCATATGTAGGTGTAATCATCTCCGATTTCGTCATTTGTCGTTAGCTGATTAGTCACAATAATTCTACCCTATTTGTTATTATAAGATCAAATATACGAATGTGATAATGATGTCAACTATTATTATTTGATAGATAGATAGAATCCAAAACGTAATATTAATAATGATTCTATAGAAAGTAATTCGATGATATTTCAGACACTACTATCATCTAATTAATTCAATAAGCTAATATGTGTTTATATACGCCTGTCGTGTAATTTTATAGAATTTCTTTAACTAATGACTCTATCTATTTAGTAAGATCATTAGTAGAGATTTTTCTTTCTTCTTTCGGCAATTTTATTCATCCTCATAAGTACAATGGAAGAGAATTATTAACTCAGAAATGTATAGACGAACAAAAAAAAAAAATCTAGAGAATAATCCTAGAAATCTTCCATAATAACACAACTGCCGTTTCCTGTTTACAAAAAAAAGGATGGATTCGATTAAGCTTATTTTTTCTTCTTTTTTTTTCTACTACTACTACTACTAGCACTTTCATTCTGCTTTTTTTTTATGGGGGCTTCATCAATGACAGGGTCTGCTATGCGATAAAAGAAAATGCATTTTTCCAGATTGACTTTTTTGTCTTGTTAACGTTAATGAGTCTCATTTCATGACGACGAACAAGGACAACAAGACACTTGGTAAAGTCTACGATCATTAATTAGACGTAATGCTTTGCTTCCATAAATTGACATATTTGATGTATTATTTTTTTTCACTCGTCTGTCTCAGGTATGTGCATATGTAAATGAAAAAAAAATACATTGGTCTGATGACGTAACCCATGCATCTTTCACATCAACTACATTGTAATCATCTGTTATTTTTTCACAGATTGAATAAATGTACAAAATAATCAAACCTTTACATAGACAAAAAAGATTTGTTTCCTTACATGATTTTGTTAAATTTTTATACTATTATTATGGTTATATGATTAAGAGAACAAACATATTTGTCAACAGACAGTGTGTGTGTAAGAGAAAAAAAGTTCCATTTGTCTCTCATGCTCTCTTAACAGCATGTTACTGTGTACCTTTGCATTTGTCGACGCAACAATATACCATTTTCTCGCTTTTGCTTTTACTTCTTGAGTTGTCCCGTTGGGGTGCAATGCATAATATGTATAAAGAAGAAGGAAAAAAAAAAGCATGAATATTATGGCGATATACATCGTGTGCTCGTTATTATTATGTATATAGAAGAAAAAAAACACGAAACTTGACATTTAATCGAATTTTATATAATCAAGGTTAAGAACTTCTTGTTCAAATTTGAGCAAGATAAGAATAAAAGAATACAAGATGTTTCTTTCTTTTTTTTTGTTCTTTGAAAAAAAAAAAAAAACAAAACAAAACAAACACCTACGTTTTATGAATGTGTTTCTTTCGCTTTGTTTTTTTTTCTCAAACATTATTTTCTATTTTTAGATTTTTATTTTGTTTTGTTTCATTTCGTTGTTCTGTCCTTCCTATACCGCTTTTTTTTCTTCAATCGTATCAAAGTATGACAAATAAACGATAGCAACATTGATGATTTGTACATAGTCACATCCTTGTGTGTGTATGAGTAAGTACGAATGAATAATATTTGACAATATTTCTTATTGTTTTTATTTATAACAGAACGCACGTGTTTGAAAGAGAAAAAAAATTATGGAGGTGAGTTCGAGAATAGCAAAAACATTTAAAAGATTTACAATACCCCGAAGTACTTCATCTATTGGTGCGTTTACAACATCAAATGGTACAGCAACAAATATAGAACAAAATACAGAAGAAATAACACCACCATCATCATCACATCATAAACATCCTCCACTTTCTTATACTCAGCATATTCGATCAATACAACAACATCATTCACAAGAAAATTTAAATACATCAAATCTTTCACAACAAAAAAATCCTTATTTATCTACTCGACCAGTAAGTGGTGATATATCATCATTTATGATGAATTCATCATCAACAGATATAAATTCATCAACAAATGAAAATACAACAAAAAAAAAGCAAAGTAAATTGAAAACTAATCTGATTTATTTCTTCAAATATTTTGAAATGTTTGTTTTTTTTGTTTTTTCAGATGAATAAAGCTAATAAAAAATCTTCAAATATACGTGATATTAATTTTAAACATATAAACGATGTACCTCTTGATAATAATTGTGATACAACAATAAAAACAAATGAAAAACAACGTTCATCAATTAAATCTTTATTAACAAAAAAATTTCAACCATTAGCAGTATCATCATCTATTAATATAAATGCTAAACCAAAAAAACCACGTAATTCATTTCGACAATTTTCTCATTTTCTTAAACGAAGTCATAGTACAAATACAGATCTATCAACAATAGCAAAACCAAATAATCAACATAATTCATTTAATGGTGATTTTATTCATTCACATTTACAAACTAAAATTGCCAATCCATCTGATGCAACATATACAACAAATATAAGCGCAAGTCTTACATGTAATACTAATAATACAACATTAGTACCAATATGTGAAGAAGAAAATTCACTTCCAATACAACAACAAAATAGATTAAAATTAACATCTGATAATAGTGATCAAATGAGTTCAAATCAATCGGATACTGGAACATTAACACATGAATTTATACAAAAGCCTGTATCTAGCCTGAGTAAGAATTTATCCTTCATGACAATGTCATTGTTTATAAGTGTCTAAGTCTATCGTATCATTTACAAACTATAGTAGAGATATCTGTCTGTCATTCAACTGTCTATTTTTTTACATAGTGAAACACTTTATAGCTGATAGATCTTCTATTATTAGAAGATATAGACAGAGACACGCAAACATGTACTTAAACATAAATAGTTTTGAACTTAAACTCAATTTTCAAAGTACTATTAATAGAAAAAAAGAATTTATTAAATCAAAATCTTGACTAAATTTGATGAAAACTATGCAAAGCTTAAGATTAAGATTAAATTTCAAATACGTCACTAAAATATAGATTAGATCTTGCTATGTAATCTAGAAAACATATGTTTTTTCTTTTTTATTCTCATAAAACAGATGCATCATTATCGTCACTTTCGGGTGC